AAAAAAAAAAAAAAAGCACGCACACAATATATAAACTAATAGAAATCCATGAAAATACTTTATTTCCCAAAAAAAAAAATCGATTAATCTAAAAATTATGGCATCTGTAAAGGTCATTAAAAACTAATAGAAATCTATATATATATAATAACAATCAATTGATTTTCGCTTCAATCATATATATAAAATAAATATCAATAAAACAGAATGGGTAAATCAACAAAAAAATTCAAGCAATTTAACTTTAAATGTATACAATATTGTTACTTGATTTATGATATCATTGTTGAAGAAGCCTCATTGTTTGAGCAAGAGTGAACATCGAGTATAAAAGGGTCGGATTTTAGAGAAGTTGTGAATTTATGAGGAGGTCTAGGTTTTGATTTAGCAAGACAATTATTGAAGATTTTGAACGTAGTTAGTGGTTTCTTTTTTTTTTTTTAAAGAAAGAAAGGAAACAAAAATTTATTTTTGGGCCCCCCTAAATAGTTGGGCTTGAGGTGGAGGCCTCTTAGACCTCTCCTCAGGTCCGACTATGTTGAAAAGTTATCTAAAGCACCAAACATACAAGTTGATACAATGGAAACCAAGTGCAGTTGACCGGTGATCACAGGATCTATGTTCAAAGGAACAACTTAATTGTAAAGACTTAATTGGATTACAGAAGGGGATTATTTCGTGTCAATTCATATGATGTAATAGTGATGCCCGCAAGGATAAGGACAAGCAATATGCTTTTAATGATTCTTATGCGTCGAAATTTGAGTACAGTAATGCGTGTTACTTGCAATTAAGAAATTACCTATATGAGAGACAAATGCGATTGCTTCTAAGGGAATTGTATAGAGCTTAATTTTTAAAGAGTCTCGCAGAACTAGACATACGTTTATGGCCACTAACGAACATAACAATGATAACTGAATTGTGTCGAGAAGAATCCTATACGAAGCATATTATCGTTTACAAAAAATGCAGAATATTTTAAAGATATCGTGTCTATTGTTCATTTAGTAAAGTAAATATACTTTCGAAAGGGGATGTTAAAAGGACAATACGTACCTATCCTATGTAGGCTTTGAACATTGAACTTTATCACCAACTTTTTATGTTTTCCATTTTTGTATCTTTCTTGATCTTCATTCATGTGGGGAATTATTGGAAAATGACTATATCATGGTATAATTTTGAGTGGGGTCCATTTCTTTCATTTGGAAGGTCACAGTAGAATCATTTATCCTTGTGAGAACATCAAAATCATATATTTACTTAGCCAAAATGTTGGGTTAATGAAATATTGAAGATCAAAGTGTGCCAATTTGAAGTGGTTAAATGTTGGAGGGAAATCAAAATTGCAGCTTGACGACATAGAAAAAGTGAGAAGGCAATGATTAGTTTATAACATTTTACAAAGGTGTAATCATGCTCTCTACATGCGCATGCACACGGGTGCAAATCATGGACCAGAATAGCACCTCGGGTCATTGAACTCATGTGCGAGAGTGACACGCGTACAAGAATGTCGAATCAAAATTTGGACACTTCATAAGATCCACATTTTGCCTTTATTATTTCTTATTTGCTTTATTTATTTACAACTACCCGTCCAGCTTCTTCAACTCCTAAACTCATGTGTTTTATGGTCTATGTTAATTCGAAAGCTAACCACAGGGTTAATAATCATGTTAATGATCTATTATGTCACTCATTAGAGCCTATAAGAGATTTTCATCAATTCCATGTACGAATTTCTCTGTTCCAAAACATACTCCTCCTTTGTTCCGTCGGTCCCCATCCGAGTCCTAGGGATAGTGTTAAGATAAAATTCAGGTCACAGGTGTAGAAACTTATTGCTTAATTTTTACAGATTTCTCTTTTGTATTTTTGAAGATAAATGTTCAACAAAACCTCAAGTGCTTACGGTGAGGAGGCGAATATGTACCTTGATCATATAGGCTTTGAAATGGGGCGTGTGTGTATGTATTTATATGTAATGGGGCTTGGAAATGGAAAATTTCTAGGTTGAATTTGAACTTAAAGAAGTGGGCAATGGTGCCTCGCCTCGGGTTTTCAGTATTCGGTCTCACACTATTCAAGCATTTCTCGTTTATCAACTCAAAGCAATTTTTTTAACTCTTTCTTTTCGGTAGGCATTTGGTAATTTCGCTCTTTGTCACTCTGTTTTATTGTGATAATTTGATCTGATTTTTAATTGGAGTAGTGAGGTAAATTCGATCGTACAAACCAGAAATTAGTACTCCACTGAGACCTAATGACTAGAAAAAGAAAACTATCATTTGTTTTTAATACAGATTAGTACTCTCAAATTCGAATTATTTCTTTTACATTGTTAGATCTTGTTTCTTTACTTTAGACATAGCTTTTAATCATGAAAGATTTTCTATTGTTTTATTGGGATTGAAATGTTCATTAAACCCACTTATCGGTTATCTAAATGTTCATTAAGAATTAGAATGATTTTATAAATTAGCATTCTTCAGTTTCAGTTTGTTATATCCTCTTGTTCAACTTTCAAGGATTTACATTTCGTAATTAGAAATAAGGTCTTTGGATGACATTTTATTCCTTAAATAGTTGGACACTTGCCTACAAAAATATATGATAATGTCAACCATATTAACCGTACTTTTCCTTACCTCATCCCCCGCACCTCAAAAGTAAATGATTCTCTAGTCTAGTTCCAATCTACCATTGTCAACTGCAGCAAGAAAAATCATCATGCTTATTCTAACTAATTAGTTGGATGATATTTCATTCCTTAAATAGTTGGACATGCACTTTGATCATTTGAAAACTCGCAAGTGCACGAGATCGTGGTCAATTAAAAAAGTAATGAATAGAGTGTTTAACTCATGTATATATTTGATCGAGTTAAAATTAATTGCGATTTTAATCGAATAGCAAACAAATTTTGTAATTTTTCTATACTAATACCTAAATTATCAATTAAACTAATGCAAGTAAGTAAATGTGTTTTTTATATATGTGAGATGCATTGTTAAGATGTCGAATCCCCCTCGTTATTCTTTTTTTAGTGTAACAATTAAAATGACAATTTGAAATCATTCATGTTGGTCATTCCTAATTTAATTGAAAGTTTCTCTCGATAGCAATCAAATCTATTCCACTCATGTGACTCTTCTATCTCTCAATGAAAGATGCAAATATAATAAATGCATCAACATGTGCTAGAACACCTATTAAAACCATATAAAACATAAAGTTATATATAAAACCATAGAGTTATATCAGATGATTTTAAGGCACCAGATTGTAAATACCCAAACATGCTTAATAACTCGAGTAATAAAGGCTACAAAGAGATGCCTTTTATATATTTTTCTACCCTAATTAGTGCAATGTCCCTCATTAAACACATATCTAATCAAATCGACCTCTAACTTAAGATTTTTGCCCAATTTTATCCTATTAGTCTAAGACAATCCACATATAAAATTTCACACATGGAATCCTAGTTTACATCCGTATCTTCCTACAACCATAAAATCACCCTCAAACTATGCTAAATGTGGTCTTAAGAATAAAGGATTTAGTATGGTTTGGGTATATGCCATGTTCTACTAAATCAACCTAACAAGCTTACGAATCAACTCATTTCATCACAATGTCATACTTAATTCTAGTGCGCCTATAATATCAAATTTTGTAGGGTTAAACATCAATTAATCTAGCATATAACATATCTACAGTTCATAAATCAACACTAAATCTCAAATATAATCATCATTGCAAGCTAGGTTATCTAACACACGCACACACAATAACGAAAAATAAACACAGAGACTCAAAAACACACGAAAAGTAAAAACTCAAAATTTTTCCCACCCTCAAATTTAAAACCGACATTGTCCTCAATGTCATAAAGTATAAGTAAGAATATAAGGGGATGTGGAATAAAATGAAAAGGTACTCCCCAAATTTTTCTTTTGAATGTGTGAAAAACTATTTGTCAATTTATTCCAACTTGTACTTTACTAAGCTCCTTCCATTGTCAATATCCATGGTACCTATCAAGAGGGGAAGTGAACAATCAAAAGAATAAAAAAAATTGATTTTGACACAATTAATATTTTCCTTTAATTTGGCTAAGTGTCAATGATGAAGATGACCCCTAAACTGAATTTAAACGTGCATATAGCTAATGCAATCTATAAATCAAGAATAACACTACATGCAATATAAAACGGAAAGCAAAATAAATAAAACAGATTAAAAAATTGGGTTGCCTCACAATAAGCACTTAATTTATAATCTTTAGCTAGATGTATGGAGTGATTGATCATGGTGGTTCGACGTTCGACTTAATTTCAAACCTTGAGCTCTCCATTCTCTTTTCGTAAACAAGGCCTTTCGACGTTTAGACTTTGTCTCATTCGACCTTTGTTGAGCTTCTTCAGTAATATATTTTGCTTCCTCCAGAACTAATGGTTACTTGGGTGGATTATGTAATTTAAAGATCTCATGTACATCCTCCACCCTCATAGTCAACTCACCTTTCTCCATATCAATCAAAGTTTAACTTGTTGCTAAAAATGGCTGGCCTAAGATTATTGGCATATCTTGGTCGTCTTTGAGGTCCATAAAATGGAAGTCCGCGGGGAATATCAAATTTCCAACCTTGATGAGAACATTCTAAACTTTGCCCCATGGGTATCTAATGCTCCTATCTGCCAGATGTAGCGTCACATTCGATCCTTCGACTTCCCCAACTCCTAGTTTTCGAAAAGTAGACAAATGCATTAAATTTACACTTGCGCCTGTATCACATAAAGCATTAAAATGAAATTCTTTGCCTACTGAAATAGGTAAAGTATAGACAAATGCATTAAATTTACACTTGAACCTGCATCACATAAAGCTTTAAAATGAAATTCTTTGCCTAGTAAAATATGTAAAGTGAAACTCTCTGGGTCCTTGAGTTTTGGTGGTAATTTATTTTGCAGCCTTGCACTGCTCTGCTCGGTCATTGTCACTTCTTTCTAGTCTTGAAGCTTTCTTTTCTTAAATATCATGTCATTTAGGAACTTTACATACATCGGGATCTATTGGATTACGTCGATGAATATGATGTTGATGTGGAGTTTTTTCAACATATCCAGGAACTTCTCGAATTTATCGTATAGCTTTCTCTTTTGCAGTCTTTGTGGAAAAGGTAGCAGTGGCTCAAATTCTTTAGTTGGAGCGGTTTCCTTAACCCTTGGATCATCTGATGCTCTTTCTGTTTCTGTTTCTTTTTTTTGATCAGATTCCTCCAATTGCTCCTCAATCGTGGTATGTACATTTACTTTTGTAGCAACTAGTCTCTTTACATTAATTTCTGGCTGTTGAACTCTACTACCGGTAGTTATTGCCTCAATCTGTTCTACATCCTTCATGCAATTATCTACAGTTTGGAATTTATCTCAATGTCACTGGGCAATGCTCTTAATAGTCTCTCTAAAAGTGCCTTTGCTATCTGTCCCATTCGATTTTTCAATTTTTTTATGGTAGTTCTTTGAACTTGCAAGCTCTTGTCCATTCTTTGCATATGTTGAATAGATATTTCCGCCAACTTAGTCACAAGATCTTCAAATGAAGAATTCTTCTCATTATGTTGAAAACCTGGTGGTGCAGGTTGCTGTGGTATGGTCTGAGCTCCCTAGTTGTTGTTCCACTAAAAACTTGGATGATTTCTCTAGTCTGGGTAATAGGTGTAAGGATTTGAATTGTGTTGTTGCCATTGAAAATTCTGAGTATAGTTCGCATTCTCCACTGTCTGAACAAAAGAAGACCCTACATTACAATCAATACTCTCGTGGTTCTCTCCACAATGCTTGCATTTCGATCCCATTATATGGGATGCGTTCATCTAATCCACCTCATGTGCCAATGATGCCAACTGTACTGAAATTGTTGTCAAATGATCAACTTCGAATACCCCATCAGTTCTCTTTCCAATCATCCTTTCAATAGGTCAAAGTGCACTGGTGAATGCCCGATCCTCCATGATTTGATAGACTTGATCTGCAGTTCTTTTTGTGATAGAACCATCGCATACAGAGTCTCGTTAGCCCTATTTATCGGATTCAGATCGATGTACAAATACTGCACCTGAAGCCCTTTCTGCAATCTTTGTTGTGGGTATTGGCGTAGTAAACCATTGTATCATTTCCAAGACTCTAAATAGCATTCTGAGTCCTGTTGTTGGAATGTGGTAATCTCGTCCCTCAACTTTGCGATCCTTTTCGACAGGAAATATTTGCTCAGGAATTTCTGACTCAATTGGTTCCATGTAGTATGCTCTGAGGTGGAGAAGTTTCTAACTTCTCTCTGGTTGAGTCTCTCAATGTGTATGAGAAAAGGCTCAATCTGATTGCTTCACTGAACACCCTTAGATACTCAATAGTTACACACATATCCAGAAATCTTGATATATAAACGTTGGGATTCTCCATAGCTCTCCCAAAGAATCTTAGTGCATTTTGGAACATATTGATTATATCAGTCCTCAGGTGGAAGTTTACTTGACCAAACGTCAAATATACTATGCTAGATTGACTTTTCACAACCGGTGGAACCATATACTCCCCCATTAGCTTTACATTTTCATTAGTTGCAGCCACATTCAGTTGTGTTTTTTCCAAATTAGACCCGATTACTATTTGATTTGGATTTTCCTCTGCCATATCTCTCTTTCGAATTTTGGTGTGTTTCCAACTGTTGTCTTTTTCGAAGGTTGAATGTTCATTCGATTTCTGGGTCAAATTGAGAAAGATCACCAATTCTCGAACTTTGCACACAATGTCCTGAAAAAGTAAGCAAGAAATACTGTAATTTTTTTCTAATATGATGAACTAAGCTAAAAAAACAATCAAATTCAGATTAAAGCTAAAATTAACTTAAACTTATCAAAAACAATAGTCCCCGACAGCGACGCCAAAAACTTGATCTTGAAAACCCGCAAGTGTATGGGATCTTGATTAAGTAATAAAATGATGAGTGGAGTATTGAACCCACGAGGACAATGTATTTGATCAAGTTAAAATTAATTGCAACTTTAACAGAATAGCAAACAAATTTTGTGATTTTTTCTGTACTAATATCTAAATTTTCAATTAAACTAATAAAAGTAAGTAAATGTGTTTTTCAAATATGCGAGATGCATTGCTAAGATGTCGAATTCCCCTCGTTATTCTATTTTTAGAGTAAAATTAAAATGACAATTTGAAACCATTCATGTTGGTCAGCGTTCCTAATTTAATTGAAAGCCTATCTCGATAGTACTAAAATTTATTCTCCTCATGTGACACTTTTATCTCTCAATGAAAAAAACAAACATGATAAATGCATCAATAAGTGCTAAAACATCTATTGAAACCATATAAAGTATAGAGGTATATCTCTATCCTCTATCGAATCTTACAATGTTTATTATATTGTAATTAAACCCTATTATCTCTCGATAACAATAAAATTCACTAACAATTCATTTGGTGTGATCAAGCAATTGAAAAGATCAATAAAAACGATAATAAACATCCACAAATCAAATCAAAATTCGATAGATCACATAGCGCGACGAATGAAGTAGGTTGATTAACAATTCACAAATGAAACTATATAGTATATGCAGACAAAAAGAAAATGGATTAAGGTTACAAAAATAAGTCAAAATAATTAATTAAAAACTAAAAGTATCATAACAAGGGTTCATCTCATCCTTAAAATTTATAAAATTAGTCTAACATTGTATAAAATTTGCCTAATATATCGAAATTACAAGAATCATATTTAAGTGGAAAGACAATATCCAAATTTTTGATAAATTGAGAAGGTGAAGATAAATCTTGAAATCTTGGATCTCTTCATTGTTTTTTGATGAATCTCCACTTGCTCCTTCTTTTCTTGCTCAAAAATAAAGTTTGAATCTTCATTTGATTGAATTTTTGCAAATTCCCTTCAATTCTCTTACAAAAACTATGAATTCTCCTCCTTTGATGATAGTAATTGATGAGTATTGAAGTATAATGTGTATATGAGAGGTCTCTCATATGTGTTATGTTGTTAGATATTCATATGAGTAGAAAATTGGTTGAAAATCACATCTAAATTGGTTTCCAAAAGAGCTCCAATCGAATAAGAAAAGTTGTCTTCACGCGCGGTTTTTTATCTCTGCACAACAGTCAATATTTTACCAATAAATTACTCTCCCCATATCCGATTGAGGTGATTCAAAATGTGTTGGAAATCTAACTCAAAGGGATACAACATTTCTAGAAATATGATTTTTCCAATTCGAACGGTTACTATTCCAAAAATGGCTCTCAATCTTTGGCTAAAAATCTTAAATATAACTTGTGCGATTGAAAATTAATTTTGATAATATTTTGATCTTTTTCCATTCCTTTTTGAGTTCTAATTAATTCAGACGTTTACATTGCCAAAAATTGGTATCAATATTTGGCTAAAAATCTTGAATATAACTTGTGCGATTGGACATTGATTGTGATAATATTTTGATCATATTCCATTCCTTTTTGAGTTCTAATTCCATTCAATTGTCTCCTAACAATCTTCAAAGTATCTTTCTGTGGTCTGAATCAACTATTGAATATTTACAATTTGGTCCTCAAACTTTGGACTTCACCTTTTTTTTTACCAATTTTCGCTTCTTTCTTTCAATTCCTCATTCTACCATTGCGTTTTACCTATATAATATAAAATACAACAATTTAGAGGATATATTTTGTCAAAAGAACTACCAAATATCGTTATTTTAGACTCGGAATAAGTATATAAAATACACTTATCACGCCTGCAAAAATGGAAGATTCGGATTAGAAAAACGTCGAGTAAATGGTACAATTGGGGGATACGACTTTTAAGTTTGATGAGTAAACTGTGATCAAGTATAAGTTGGATGAGTAATGAAACACTGGTTTGGCTAAGTTGTAATTTTTAACGACTGGAATTTTCGTTAGTCACTTCAACCAGTAAGGTAACGGATTTTTTAGGATGATAGATGGAATGCAAACAAAAAAAAAATTAGTAAGCACTGTGAATCCCTTTGAAATTTAGTGGGTAAACCGAGATTATGATATAAATTGGATGATGATTAAAATATTTAATTCTTGATTTCAGGTTCAATAGTTTGAGTGGACAAATTTCTGCATGCTTTTGTTAACTATTTAAACTTCATCTTTTGAATCATAGAAATAACAGTTTTACAGTTTGATCCCAGCTTCTCTCTCTAACATATCTGTAAATTCTAAAACCCTAGAAATTAAAATTCGTTTTAATTCTTCATCAGTCTAAATTGTAGAAAGCAGGCAGTCATAATATCCTACAACTAGTTTTAAATAGTTTTGACTACATCATGCAGATTATGTCAGTGTTCTAACGATTCTATTTAGCCCCTGTTTGTCTACCAAATTCACTCATAAAATATTTCACATACAAATTAATAAAGTTACTTTAAATTTCAATAAAACATTATCCAAAAAATACTATTTCTTACTCCATTTTTCTACCAATAATGGTAGACAAACAGACTCTTAATTGCACAAATTAACTAACAGATTTAAACAGAAACACCATATATAACATGATAAACTCTTAAGCGAAACATCCACGGCCCCCACGCCATGGGTCAAACAATCCACTAAATCAAACAATCAGAAATACAATAGTCTCAGTTTTGTATTTTCGTAAAATTAACAAAAATAATCAAAAGAAATCTAAGAACAACTCTCTTGTTTTCTTAATCTTTTCACTTGTTGTAAAAGTGGAATCCAATCCCCGGCCTTGACTTTAATGTAACTTTACTATTGTACTCGATCGCAATCACCACTTGGATTAAGAATCACTACTCTTAACTTTCATCAGGCAACTTGATCAATTAATAGGATTGTACATTAAAGCTATAGTTTGTTTTCTTCAAATGCGGTTGTAGAAGAACAGGTGGCTTTGAAAGTTTTCAATTACGCATGAGTTTGGTCGCCCTTGTTAGAAGATGGCAGAATGTGCAATGGTTAGGTTACCGAACATGGACAAATTTTCAAACCTATTCAAGTTCATCCGTGTGCGTACATTAGCACACACATGCACTGTTGTTATAACCTCCCAAAGCTGCGTGTGCACGTGCTGGCCTTCTGTCTAGCATGCGGGATGGACATATTTTCACTCGTATTGCTGGTTTTTAATGTGCTGTCGATTTCAACGTCTTCTTATCGAAGATGGATCAAACCAAAATAACACTAATTTCGAAAATGTTCTAACAATCCCCCAACATTTTTGAATTGAATGAAGTTCTTAATATCTCTTTTATAGACTTCTCATATTTGAATGCATAAATGAATGTCTTTTGGACTTCAACCTTCACGTAGTGGAAATGTTTCAAAGGTCAAGGAGTCGTATAGTTCCCGAACTGTCACCTTGAGGACAAGGTGAATTTTGGGAGCACTGTGTGGATAGGCTCCAATATTGTCTACTTCAGATGCATATAAAGTCTATGGGTCAGAGTGTTGGGGATTGTAACGTTTATTCTGTTATTTCAATTAGTCAGCAGTGTAATTTAATTTGGGAATCTTCTGGAATGCAATTTTAGCCAGAATATGAATTATAAAAGGGGAGGGAAGTGCAGTGATTCATACAGCTTGCTAGAGAGAAAAGTAGGGAGAGAGGCCGGTCTCGAAAACCTACCAAGCTTGTATTTCCATTCCATTTTTATTCAGTAATTCGGCAAAAAAGACATCGAAATGCTGGAAATTATAACAGAAACATCTAAAGAGCATTCAGACATCAAGGAGGCTTAAGTATGGAAGAACTTCAAAAGGATCGAAGTTGATGTAAAGATGCCTAGATCTACTAGCAGAGTACTTCCATTGATGTAAACATGTAGCACATATAACAACTCAATTATTCGTGACATGTTTTGTGTTATTGATGGTGTTAGAAACTGATTCTTGGATCATTCAAAGCTTCCAGTAACCACTCTCTTATGAAAATTGTGATTTAAGGCTGAAAATATGATGGAAAATTGTCCAGGAAAATACGCAATTGTTAGGACTTGGAAAGCCATCGTAAACAAACCTTGTAAAAATTGGCCCTTTTTAACGTAATTGAGTTCTTGTTTATAAGAGTACATTAAATTTCAGAACTAGATTCAAAATGACAAGTGGTTCGAGTACAAAAGTTTCGAGGATTCAACCTGCAAACTATGAAATTCTTTACGCAGCTTTTATTGTATGCTTTCTATCGTGACAGGCACAATATATGTTAGACTAAAGAACATAGCAAACTAATAGAATTACAGAATGATCATATACACAGAGAACACATTGCGTTATGCTCTTAACCAAAACTCGGGAATATTAAGGCTGCCCTTTTGTATTCGGGTAATATGCCAGGATCTCATATCTGATCTTCTTCAATGCTACGACTTCTTCTTTCATATTCATCTTCTCATTTGCACTTTCCATGGAGCAATTTAAAGCTAGTTCCATTATAGATGATAAACATTTCAACTTTTCTGTGTAATATTCTTCTTCTGGAACCAACAAGTTCGAATCTATAATTTGAGTAATAGCATTGGGCATAGAATCATTTATCCAGCTCCTCTGGCTTAATTCCCCAGAAAAATTTTCGCTGCTTGGTTTCATACTGGTAAATATTTCCATTAACATAATACCATACCTATAAACATTTGATCTTATTGACACCAACTCTTTCAATCCATACTCTACACGCATTATGAAATGTATGAGTTGCATCACGTTCGAAGCTATATTGCGTAAGAAATATAACATATTTTACAAATTTTTTTTGTGTAAATATTAATGCTGCTAAGCAGATGACAAAATCTCGTCCCAGAGAATTGTTTTGGACAATTGAGGACGAAAATTATAGAGAAGCAGATACTGAATCCTTTATTATGGGCAATTGTTCCTCATGCCATTTACTATGTTTTAAGTCTAATCTTCAACCCATGTTCCCACACACACTATCTTAATACAAGGACCTATTTAGCCAAGAAAAAATAAATGTGTTGGACTAAATTTAACTCTTATTTTTTATTTATACCAAACGTACCTAAAAGTTCAAGAGAAGAGACAGAAGCTTTACCTAGTGCAATGTAACACAATGTTCCCAGGGTTGTAGTATGTGTATTTCTTTCTCCCTCACCCATCAGACAAGTGGGCAACCATATCGTCATCCAGAAGTACATTACTTGGCTTTAAATCACAATGAACAATCTGTGTTGAGTAATCATAGTGAAGATATTCCAATGAACATGCTATGTCTATCATTATGTTAATTCTCTGCAAGCTATCCAAGATATAGCTGTCCGAATGTAATTACTTCTCCAGGCTTCCATTAGACATGTACTCGAGAACCAAGGCCTTGAAATCTGGACTGAAGCAAGTACTAATGACTTTGCACAAATTTCGATGCCGAAGGCTGCGCAAGACATCACATTCTACATCAAAACTCTTGAATGCATTTTGGTGTTGCAAATTGAACACCTTCACTGCCACATCCCTTCCATTATTAAGAGTCCCTCTATAGACAGAGCCAACACTCCCAGATAAATGGCTTTCACTATACCCTTCAGTTGCTTGCATAAGCTCATAATATGATACTCTTGATAGAGTTGTGTGAGGTGCAAAGTCTGTTATACTTTCCCCCAAATTTTTCCTTCTGTATCATTTAACTGCACATGCCAAGGCCATGGCAACTATAATCAGTGCTATAGTACCCGACAAAGCAAATACAACTCCAAGCATCACTTTTCGTCTCCTTTGTCTACCATTTCAAATAGTATGACATGGTGGGAGACCATATACAGGATCACCACATAGTCCTTTATTAGACCCGAAGAATCGACTTGGAAAGTTTTTGAAAGGACCACCAGAGGGAACTTCACCACTTAAATCATTGAATGAAACATCAAAGTATGTGAGATAATTAAGTGGCTCCAAAGACTTTGGAATTTTAACAGAAAGATTGTTGTTATTTAGATCGGGTCGCTCCAAGTTCAGCAGCTTACCCATTGACTCGGGAATAAACCCTTGCAGTGTGTTATGTGCTAAGGAAAGCTTGACTAAGCTCTGTAAATCTCCAATTGTGATTGGAATGCTACCTGAGAACTGATTCACTAATAAATCAATAAGAGTTGCAACTTTAGATTCCCTATTTCTTGAGGGAGATTGCCACTCAAAAAATTTGAAGATAGATTTAACTCCAAAAGATCTTTCCAGAGCCACAGGCTCGGAGGTATGATGGAGGTCAATCTGTTGGAATCTATATATAGAGACCTTAGTGTAGTTATATTCCCCATGCAGTCTGGGATGGCACCTGTTATTAGATTATGAGACAACAACGATCCATTTAAATTGTGAGGTTCACAAAGAGTATCCGGGATATGTCCACTTATTTTGTTGCGGGAAAGAGCTAATCCTTGAAGCTTTTGCAAATCCACCACGCTTGATGGTATTGATCCTGTCAACTGATTGCCATACAGACTTAACGCTATCAAACTGCTGGGATTTCCAATTTCATTTCGAATGCTACCTCTAAGATGACAATTATAACCATAGAGATATTGAAGAGAAGTAGAAAGATTTACAACTGAAACTGGAAGAATGCCATTCAAGGGATTATCATCAAAACCCAACTTTATTAAAAATCTACAGTTCGTGAATGAAGTGATGAAGCTCAATTCTGGAGATTCACTAATAAAATTGTTGCCACCCAAGTATGCAACTTCAAGGAATCTTAAATCTCCAAAGACGTTGGGAATCGGTCCAGTAAAATTGTTGAAAGATAGGTTTATTATAGTGAGTTCAGAAGAATTTGCAATTGAATTTGGTATTCTTCCATAGAAATTATTTTGGTTCAAACAGAGTTCTTCAAGATTAGGAAGCTCATAACCCAAAATCAACCTATCAAGATTACCCAAAAGCTGATTTTCTGAAACTGAAATCATTAGTAATGTTGAGATGTTGAAAATTCTTGGTGGAATAGAACCGATTAGGTCGTGCTCGGTGTGTGCCGTTATCAACCTCAAATTCCGCTGTTTTTCCTTCCGGATTGTTATTTTTAGTTAAATTTTGTTATTTTTTGTAGTATTTCGATTGTATGTTAGGAGACAATTTTTAACCCAATTTGGACTAGATTTTTCGCAAATTACTTATTTTATTCCGTATTTTCGTTTGGCGTGATTTTTGGAATTTTGTCATTTTTTGTAAAATTCGAATTTTTGCTATAAAATCCAACTTGTGGACTTACTTTGATCATTGCGTGATATAATAAAGTTCTTTAAATTTCAGAGACTTTTTCTCTGNATAAAGTTCTTTAAATTTCAGAGATGTTTTCTCTATGTTTTTGACGTTATTTTTGTGTTCTTCCCTGTGAATTTGTTGGTAGAACTAGCCCGGCGTCAAATCTCTTCCAGGATTTTCCCTGGTAGAGGATTGAAAGACAAATCCAAATCCTGGAGAGTGGATATGTTAAATAGTGAAGGTGGGATAAAACTGTTATTTCTAACATTCATAACTTTAAGTTCGGGCAAGAAACCAAACCAAGACGGAATTTGTCCACTGAAATTGTTGAAACAAATATCAACTGTTCTTGGTCGACTCAATTGAAGGCAAACTGTTATAAAAATTATTGCGACTTACATTGAGGGAAACAAGAAAAGAGAGATTTCCCAATTCAGACTGTAACTCCAATCCAGTCAAAAATCGAGGCAGAAGAAGACCAGTTCTTTGACAGAATTCCTGAAGGGTCTAAACTAATGTGTGCTTTCAAGGTCAAAAGAGAAGCTTCATCTGTAGTGACATTGGTTTTCGACATGGCCAAACACACCATTAGAGTATCAAAAGAATTACAGCAGAAAAGTATTGAGATTTCTCCATGGTTGTGTCTAGTTTGTGAAATCTGGATTACTGGGTGCAACGAGAACTGGATCACTACAAGAAAACAAAACATGCTTTCTTTGACTTTTAGGATTATAAAAATGAAAAATTACGTGACAACCTTTGAGTAAAATAAAAAGTGGTATATAGGGATAAAGGTGACTAGTCCCGTTTAGTTTTAAATAAAAAAATTTATAAAATTTGATAAATATATGTTTGAAAAGTTGATAAAATAGTGAATTCTTTTAAGTATGTGATTAAAGAAGAAGAAGAAGACTAAGACTGAATTTTTAAGAAATCGGGAACCAAACAAATAGTAGAAAAAATAATAAATACATGGCCTCGCTGCTTATTATTTATTCATGATTTGGCTTGTGATTCGTTCAAGGAAGATATCTCAATCTTCTATTTTATATGATTCTATTCATCCTTATATGTTAAAAAAAGAAAAAGATTTTTTCATTTTGCAAAAAATCTATTCATTTTCTTAATTATGCTATTTAAAAATTTCATTGGGGAATAAACTGCTCAGTATCTCAAAGCATAGGAAGGAATTATTTTCCCCTCAGCAAAAGGTAAATATAATTGTTTTTCATTTTACCCTTCTGTACTATTATTTTTTATTTAATTAAATTTCTTTCTTTCTTATTATTTATTATATATATTTTTTCATACGTTTAATTTAGACAAGATCATTTTAGTGAAAAAAGAAAAACAATTATAACAATTGCTATTAAATTTAAAAAAATTATAAAATGGATTTTTTTAAAAAATACAGTTGATAAATAATTAACAAGCTGGCATAATTTAATATTTAAAAAGACATTAATAAAGTTAATTGAAAATTCATCAAATATTTTTTTAGTGCAACTGCATACGCAATTAAAAATGGTATACAATAAGGCCAATTAATCGACAAAGCACTACGCACAGGAAACTGTATTGCCTGTTTTGGTAATAAACTAGAAAATAGCACAATCGACATCACTGCACAACTCTGAAATAAGACCAATTCATGGAATACTTTATTTTTATTTTTTTTTACTCTTGATATTTATACTACATTAATTTAATAAAAAAAAAGTAATATTACCCTAAAATATTAGTAATGATTATGTCATTGTCTCTAACTTTTTTTTACTTTCATAAAAAGTAATTTATAAATTTTAAAGAAATTTTTTAAAGTCTAATAAAAAAAAAGAGATGGCAACGGGTGCCCTGCCCCACCCCGCCACGCCACTCTCGCGCCTTGCCCCACCTTAGACGGGGCGGGGTAGGGCGTGCGGGGCCCGAGCCCCCCCCCCCCCCCCCTTTTTTTTTAAAAAAAAATAACAAGCGATGCCGACGGGAAAAATGGTAGTGCGCCAACCGGTACTGCAGCAGCGCACGACGCTGCTGCAGTAACCAGCAGCAGCGTCGAGCGTCGCGCGCTGCTGCCACTTTTCAAGCAGCGACGACGCGAGCGCCGCTGAAAGCAGCAGCGATGCTGCTGCTTCAGGACCGCCACCGCAACAGCGACGGTAAACGGTCGCTGCTGCGTGGAGGTGTCTAGTCCGTGCCGCCATGCTTCGGTGGTGCCGCGCTTTTCAGATCCAAAATTTTGACCCAAAATTTTTTAAATTGCTAGATTCAAGAAAACACATGACTAATCAACTTTTGATTATTCAAGATATAAAAGAGTTTCTAAAAAATACAAAGTAGGCTCTGATATCACTGTTGGGAATTTACTTAACATGCACAACGGAAATAAAACAATTTTTTATTCCCAAACGAGGATCTGCAATGTGTTTAGATAGAAATTGTGATGAGAATGATACATTTGATGAATTCCACAAACTTTTTTGCTCTTTTTTGAATTCCAATGATCACGATCTGCAATCCAAACTGTCCAATTGTCCAACCTCTAATGACGATCCACACAGAGAATAAGAATGACGGTTAGAGTTTTCATTTCTTGTGTTAGCAAGAATAATGAAAAATTACATACTGTTTTCAAACCGTAGTAGTCTATTAATATAAGTCCAAATGGGCTCGACCCATTTGTTAAACTTAACCCTGTCCAATATTTAATTAATCAAATTAATTAAAT